AGGCAACACTATCACACATAATGTAAAGAAATTGTTTGGGGTTTATTGGTCATTTTCCTTAATTTCAGTCCTGTTAAGTAGCTGGCAACAAATTACTACTGCATTGAATACATATGTGAGATGCAAAATATAATGTTTATCTATTTTCTCTGTTTGTGTTTAGTGTATGGTGCACTCTCCATGGAGCTGTGTTTAATATTATTTTATTACTGTTGCTGGCGTGCCATTCAAAAGCAGTGTTCTCTGATCCTGGTGAGTGCTCTTATTTCATGGAAATATTGTAGACTGATTGTGTTTTAACCCTATGAAGTCTAATGTATCATATTTGATACATGAATTTTCAAATCCTCTAAATTCAGCATGATCAAAACTTGGCTAAAAATTGTTGTACACAATCTACTACATGCCTTCTGTCCTCTGCTTGATAGCTTATACTTTTTTGGAAGTAAAAGGCTTTTTAGTAATTGTCCACCTTCACACGTCTCTTTTTTTTGCGAAATACTTAATGATTTTTATGAAGTTTATGAAGTAAGAATACTTTCATATTGTAAGTATTTTAAGATGAAATCATGTTAAAATGCAAGTATTAAATATCATACAACAGGCTTTTGAGGAATGTTGTATTGCTTTGCATTATATGTTTTGCCCCCCACAATAAAAACTACAGAGCTTTGGTCATAAAACAAAACATTTAAATTTCATCATACTAAGATTATTGGGAGATATAAAGTGACAACTCATAATTATATGCATTTTATGTCAGTTGGACTATTATAAAGATCTAATTGATTTAAGGTATCATAATTTCATCTTACTTTTTGACTATAAATAACATTTGAACCCATTTGCTCAGTTTAGGCCTTTAAATGAAAGTTTTTTTTGTTTGTTTTTTCTCAAGAATGAGCTCTATACTCTCACTATGTCATACTATATGGACCATACTTTCCTGTTATTAAATATGATACAAAACATAACACACATATGCAAACTTTTATATTTTATGTTAGAATTTGTCTTGTTTAATGAACTGACTCAAAAAATGGGATTTCTCTGACTATCATTTCATATGTCAGGCTTTACACAGGGTCAAAAAGGCTATCAATGTGCATTTGTACCATTTATTATTATTACAGGTATGGTTCCTCTACCTGAGACAGCCATTGACTTCTCAGACTTGAGGTCCCAGTCCAACCGTCTGAATGACAGAGTGAGTGTTGCTGGTCTTTGTACTCCTGTAACAGTGTTTGTAATGTAGTTATTATGTTGATTTAATAGTGGTTCACATAGTGTGTATATTCTGTTTACTGGCTTTGGATCTTATTTCACAGTGCATTTGCTCTCTGACATGTCTTTAATCTTTGTGTTGCTCTCATCAGGGCTGTGAGGGCTGGACAGTGTGCAGTCGCTGTGAGACGTATCGGCCTCCTCGAGCCCATCACTGCAGAGTTTGTCAGCGCTGCATCAGGAGAATGGACCATCACTGCCCATGGTGAATCTCTCATCATTTTCCATTAGCCAATGTTGTCAAATTGAATATATTTTCATGTTCGGGTGTATTTAAAGTAGAATAAGAGTTTGCAATATAATGTTTTGTTTTTGCAGTCTTTCTGATAAATGTGTTTGCTCTTTTATAGGATCAATAACTGTGTTGGAGAACTCAATCAGAAATACTTCATTCAGTTCCTCTTCTACACAGGTAAGTTTTAAAAGGATAGTTCATCCAAAAGCCACTCCAAACCTGTATACCTTTTTTCTTCTTCTGTGGAACACAAGAGATGATACTTTGAAGAATATTAGTAACCAAATAGTATCAGGGTTCCCTTTAACTTCCATTGTATTTTTATCCTTACTATGGAAGTCAGTGGGACCCAAAACTGTTTGGAACAACATAAAATTATAGAATTTCCATTTTTGGGTTAACTTTCCCTTAAAGAACACTTGTAAAGAAATTCAGTGTTTTCCATTCCTCTCCTCTATTGCCATATTGTTTCTGTATGACATTGTAGGCATGGCCAGCTTGTATTCCATGGCGCTGGTGGTGTCAGCATGGGTGTGGAGAATAAGGAGCGAAAGAGAGGGAGATGAAGATAAAGAAGGAGAAGAAGCTCCCAGCAAACATCTCATTGTGTAAGTCACCAATACATGTATAGGTCCTGTATATGTCCGTATAAATTGTATAACGATTGTAAATATTGTTTAAGATTAATGTTCTTTTGTTAGCTTTTCACTTCTCTCACACTGTTCTTGGTCACTTGTTCTACAGGGCACATTATATCATTTTGCTGGTGGAGTCGATACTTTTTGGAGTTTTTGTCTTGGTGATATTTTATGACCAGGTATGCTTCAACATTATATAGTTCCTAATTTTGGACTATATGTTAACATTATAATAAACAGCAATGCCACAATTGTAATATTTCATATTGAACTTTTACTGCTTGTCATTTTGCATTTATCTGAATCATTTAATTAATTTAAACATCTTTTGCCACCTTTACATTGCAGATGATGTTTTGTGTGTTGATCCTCGTTCACAGCTGATAGAATGAATCCCATGATTAATGCAAAGTGTCTCTTTTTAAACTAAAGTCTAAACTTAATCATGCATAAAACTTTAACACTATTCTTTTTCTGCTTTCTAAACACTAGTATTTTCTTCAGACAATGCAAATCTTATTTATGTAATTAATTGTTGAAATTTAAATGTTTTTTTTTTGCATGTGTTGATCTGTCATCTCCTGTCTCTCTGTTGTTTTTGTCCCAAGCTGGTGTCCATTATAACAGATGAGACGCCCATTGAACAGATGAGGAACAGACTAATGAAAGATAAACCCAACAACACCCACCCAACACACATTACACACACAAGAAAGCCCAAAATTGCATTGCTGAGGGAGGTTTTCGGACGTGGTGAGTTTAATGCTGTTTATTTACAGCGTCTGTTTTGATCCTGCAAGCCTGTTGTTAGAATTGCATCACTGGTACTGTTACAAATCCAAAGCATTGAGAAATAATATGTTTTACATTATTTAAAACAAAACAAATTGTAAATGTTTTTCAAAGTATCTTATATTCACCAAGGCTGCATTTATTTGAGGTAAAAAAAATACAGTAAAATCAAGAATTTTGTGAAATATTACTATCATTTAAAATAATTGTTTTATATTTTAAGATGTAATTTATCCCTGTGATGCAAAGCTGAATTTTTAGCATCATTACTCCGGTCTTCTGTCACATCCTTCAGAAATCATTCTAATATGCTGATTTTCTGCTCAAGAAACAATTCTCATTAATATCAATGTTGAACACATATCTCCTGCTTGTGGAAAATAATTGATTTTTCATGATTCTTTGAGGAATAAAAAGTTCAAAATAACAATTTATTTGAAATAGAAACCTTTTGTAACATTATAAATGTCTTTACTGTCACTTTTAATAAATGTAATGCATCCTTACTGAATAAAATTAATTCTTAAAAAAAAGTGACCCCACACTTTTGAATAGCTGTGTACAGAATAATTGTTTTTCCGCTTGTATTTCTCTTATATTTACAGGTTCTATAATATGTTGGTTGTTCCCACTCCATTCCTCCCCACCTTCTGTTGGCGGCATCAGTTATTCAGCACTTCCTGATTACAATGTGTAACTAACCAGTTTTCCATCGGTTCCTTTGAACATTTCATCAGTATCGCATCATGTGTAGGACACTGAATATTATGTTATATTGGTGCAAATTTCAGCTATGATGAAGGAAGAGTGCTGCTGTGTGAGTGTGACTTCTGCTTGCTGCTTCTCACACACACACGCACACATACAAATACAAGGTACTTCTACAAACCTGGATCTTTTTCCTTTCTCTGTTCATCTAAATGATTTCTCTTCATGTAACCCAGGACATTTATTGGTTTTTAATATAATATTAATTATGAGGATTAGTCAGTTTTCTCTCATTAGTATCTTGTTTGAAGTTACTGAAGCAGTATCTTAACCTGTAACCAGTATATATTTTGTTACATAACCATTGATTGGCTTTAATGGACATGAGGACACACTCGCAAGGTCAGCTGTGTTGACTTTATTTCAGGTAAATGCAATAGGATGCACCATCATTCATTTTGTTATTATTGTGTGTGTTTGAGTACATGGACTGTACTCCATTTTACATAAGGATTGTAAATAAAGATGTATTTTATAACTTTAATTTCTGACAAAAGTGTTGCTGCATTTTCAGGGTACTGGACTACTTTTGTTGAAGTGCTTGGTTTTGTTTTGTTTGAAATGTTAATGTTTTTGCTGTTTTATGGACAGCTTGAGGTATGTGTGTACATAACAGATGAACATGTATATTGATAATGTTTACATTGATATTTATTGTAATTTACCTGTGGATTGTTTGTGTCTAATGCTGCTCTGACTTATGTGAAGTAAAAGACATCTTTTCATATTCTGGCTTTTTCTCTTGAAAATTCCAAGTTTGAGTGGAAATAAACCAGTAGTGGTAAATATAGCCTACATTTCTTTCTGTGTTTTATTCAGGATATCTATCTACACACACACACACACACACACACACATATATATATATATATATGTGTGTGTGTGTGTGTGTGTGTGTGCATAAGAACGCACACAAGTTTATTTAATGTTTATTATTTGTATTTAATGTTATTATAGAGTATTATATGTGCGTATAATACATGTTATTATTTGTATTTGTTATTATATAGAGTAATTAAATAACGTGACTAATCAAATTAGTTTAGGATTTAGTTTTGCGCACAATGTAACATTCTCTAAAACAGGCAGCTTTTATAAAGGCGTGTATAGGTAGTGGTGAACATTAATATTTCACTAGATGCACAGCACACCTAAATGAGTAAGAGCTAATTAAAAAGGGATCATATTAATTTTTCAATCCTTCTGAGCTCGTCGCTTACTGGCCCAATCCTTGATCACGTGTTTGTGTTGTTATTTTTGTTGTCGACTTCCTGGTAGCAAAAAAATCATGTGATCATGTGACGCTTCCTGGAGCTTTACTTTCACGCATCACTTTTGCTCTCCGCAACAACATTGTCCAGCAGCAAACCCTAAATCCACCGCAGGATTTTGCGCTCGTTTACGGCATGGCTAACGGTGAGCGATCGCCTTTGCTGTCGGACAGTCGCGATGGAATGAACGGGCTGTCACCGGGAGATGAGCCCTACCGACCTCCGAGCAAACCACAGAGTGAGTCAAACCTGACCCGCATTGACAGAACGCTTTTGGAGCTGTCTACCTGTCCACAGCATTTTTGGGCATCGTAGGCGAATTCGAACGTACGACTCGATTCGTTTCAATTCGATTGGAGCGTTCGAACGCGCCTGTGATGCCCACGCTTACATGCTGACTAGCTAGGCATTTATTATTTATTACTTTTATTTTGATTTATTTAGAGCACAGCACAGACTGAGAAATAATACAAGTTAAAATTGTTGACCATTTGTAAAAATGTTGAGTACCTAACTACACAATATTGCTCTGGGTAACAAATCCATTTTCTTTGCTTTGCACAAACTGCATATAAATGGCAATAAAATTAATTAAAAAGTTAATATGGTTAGTAATTAAGGGATAATGTTAGGTTAGGCTTTGTATTGATGTTGAATATTTTTATATATTTATTTACTTATTATTTTGATGTATTTATTTACATAATGTTTTTGTAATGTTTATTTAGATAATAATATTTTTGAATTATCAATTGCAAAAAATCTTACTTTTTTAGTATTGTACTTATTTATGTATATTTATAATTTATATAAACTTCATGTATAATTTAAGTAAAAAGTTTGGAGGCCATATCTGTTAGTGTAAATCTATTAGCGTAAGTGTATTCACTAATGTTATGTAAAGTATTGTTTTTTTAAAGCATTGTTCTTACCCGTTTGTATGGAAGGTTGATTCTGCCATGAAATAAAAAGTAAAAAAGGCTAAATAAATTTGTCTCTTTTTCTCTTACAACATTTTCTCTTTTTATCTTACAATTCTGACTCACAATTTTCTCACAATTGTAAGTTTGGAGTTGCAAGATAAAGACTGGCTTTCGTAGTTTGCATTCTGATATTGGTTAAAAAAAATTCCCTCTGTTTCAATGCAAATATTTTAATTAAAAATGAATTTATTTTATTAATTAGTTTTAATTTCTTTTCATTGTCACAGGCAACCTACAAATATGTATTTAAATAATATTATTAGTAATGAGTTCTATTTGATGCAAAAAATGTTAGTCTTAACCTTATATATTTAATATTTCATTTGCATGTCAATTGCTAAATGTAGTACAATCATCATTTTCTTTTTCCTCTCTTTCTCTCTCTGCCGTCTCCTTACAACATCTCTTCTGCTCTCTCTCCATCCCAGATTTCCCAGCGTTCCCGTCAGCTCCTCCCGCGTCGATGCTGGGAGAGGCTCCTCCACCGTACTCCCCGCTGGGCTCTCCGGAGAGCGGCAGTGCTCCTGTTATCAGCTGCAGAGTGTGTCAGTCGCTTATTAGTGTGGAGGGTAAAATCCACCAGCATGTGGTCAAATGCGGCGTCTGCAATGAGGCTACGGTGAGTTAACGAGCACATTTCATTTAGGATTCCAGTCATCAGACATCCCTAATATTATGTGCAATATTTGTTTGAAAACTGTACTAGATTTAAATGAAAGTTTAGACTGTGATATAACTTCCTGTTTTATCTAGCCCATAAAGAATGCTCCAGCAGGAAAGAAGTATGTGAGGTGTCCGTGTAATTGTCTTCTCATCTGCAAAGTCACCTCGCAGAGGATTGCCTGCCCTCGACCTTACTGGTGAGAGACATTACCATCCTTCATAAGCCTTACAACAAAGTATTAGGTTAGGAACACATATATATATATATACAGTATATATAGTTTTTTTAACTGTTCTTTTAAGTTTTCTTCATCAAAGAATCCTGAAAAAGACAGGCTTCCACTAAATATATCAATAATCCATTGATAATAATACGACTTGAGCACCGAATCAGCATATTACCAGTTATATAAGCCAGTTATAAACAGTTATTTTGAATAGTAATAATGGATGCAGTTCAGCTTTGCCATCACATAAATTTATGAAAATATTTTTATGAAAATAGATTATGTTGATGATTTTGCTGTATTTGTGATTAAATAAATGCAGCCTTGGTGGGAACAAGAGACTTCTTTCAATAATGTTATCACCACAGAAGTTTTGAACAGTAGCGTATATTCAAAAACATGTTTTGTTTTTTATTAGTGGACTTTAGTAGATAAGTCGGGAGATAATTATGATTTTAAAGATTTTAATGACATTAAAGATTTTTGATTTGATATGATTGAATGCCCAGAGGTTGTTGTGCAATGAAGTTGATAGTGTTTTTCTTATTAGTTTTAATTATGAGTTTCCAGAAATTCTGTTATTTCATGTTTTTGTGTGTACATGTGTGTCTTTTTTTTTTTTTGATGGGGATCAGTAAGCGAATTATCAATTTAGGTCCAGTTCATCCTGGTGCCAGTAGTCCGAATCCTCAGCCTAGTGGTGCCAGAGTTTCCTGTGGCCACTGTGGAAACACTTTTCTGGTAAGAAATTTTCATATTCATGCACGGTTGCAATATTTTAAAACTCTTTATCATTTCATTTGCCCTAATAATAGCCTTAATATAGCTGTGACTCGATGTCTCTCTGTTGTTGATTTAGTGGACAGAATTTACAGATCGGACATTGGCTCGCTGTCCACACTGCAGAAAAGTGTATGTTAATTATTATCCATAGACCTTCCTCTATTTAGCACCAGCAGTTACATTCACTGGCTGCAAGTAAAATATTGGCATGTCATTCCATTCTTTTCGTCCATACAGCTCATCGATTGGCCAGAGGTACCCTAGAAAGCGGAGTTTGATATGTTTCCTGCTGTGCTTGATCTGCATTATAACGACTGCAGGATTGATTGTAAGAATAAAAGCATTTTTAGAGTTCATTATTTCAAAACGCACCATCATTTCAGAATACCAGGAATCCTCTTTTCTGTGTTCTGTTTCTCTTTTTAGGCTGGCACGTGGTGGAAGGCAATGAAATATAAGGGGATTTATGCCTCCTGGGTATTTTTCATTCTCCTGGTGCTGATCACTTTGGTCCGAGCTTTACATTGGGCCTGCATGAAAATCAGTGAACCGCTGCACAACTACTCATCATAGGAGTGATGAATGTGGAGGAGGAAGGGGTAGAAATGAAGTGTAAGAGACGAGAATAAAGAGAAAACAGAGCAAAAAGATGTTAATAAAGTGATGCTCTGTCAGGAAAATATCCAAGTCATATTTCACCCCAAAATCAATGCAAAAAAAAAAAAAAAGTTTAATTTCACAAAAAAATTAAATAATTATAATTTTGGGTTATAATAATAATATCATTTTGATTTGGGGGTGAAATGTGACCACTTTTCCCCCCTTTTTAATTTTTTCAGTGCTCTGCTTTTGAACCCCGCTCTTCTCTGAACTGATTTCAAATCCAATTTGCCCATATTGCTAATAGGAATCTGCTTCCTAAACACTGCAGAATTAGAAAAAGCATAAAAAAATTTCAGCCTTGTCCGTAGGACAATAACTTCTAGTTTAGTTGCACAATCAGTAACTACTGAAACAGGCTATTTTTGCTCCATGAATTGACATCACTGTGGCATCACACAAATATATTGAAACGTTACAGCTAGAATGAGAGATTGTGGCTGAATTGCTGACACAAAGTGTAAGTGCCTCATGAGACAATGTGCACTGTTGTTAAAACTTAAAGGGGTCATATGATGCTGCTAAAAAGAATATTATTTAGACATGTGGGGTGTGTTAGAACGAGCCGTTTTAGGTAGGTGTGGCTGACTCTGAACTTTTATAAAGAATATCTCTTTGGATTTGAGACTTTAGTCTTTGCAACTTTACAGATCTTCTTTATGCACCAAGAGCTTGTAACACTCCAAAGAGAAAGGAAAAATTGAAATCGCATCATATGACCCCTTTAAGCAATTTTTTCATATAAGAAGGAACTGCAACTTTTAGCTTTATTGAAAATTGTACCCTGACCTGGCACATCAAATGAAGGGTATGAGCAAGAAAAAGGAAATGAAAACACACTGAAACATTTGGAAGGTTTAGAAAAGAGGAAAAGCAAAACTTTTTTTTTTTTAGACAGTGCATTTTAGTGCATATCACCTATTATTGGAATGTGCTATAGATTGGACCATAGGCAAAGATGAATTGATTATTCTTTCAGTGTAGTTTATTGCTTTTCCGTAGATATTATTCAGTGACTCTATAGGGGTTTCTTCTTGTCTGTGGCCTAGGTTTAGACCAAACCTTTACCTTCCTTTTCTTCCTCCTACAGCATTCAGCACGTCTTACTGTATATCTCCACCCTCAAATCTCAAATTCAGCTGAGGCAACAAATTATGCTTTGCTTACTAACTAATAATGTTCAAATATTCAACACAATGCAATATTACAGATCATTTTGAGATTGCTGCTCATAATTTGTACCTGTCTGTGATTATATAGGTATATAGCTGCATTAAAATCTTCTCTTTTATATGCTACGAAGACCTTCAACATTACCTATTAAAGTAGTATGGGAAGACAATTTTTTAAAATGACAATTTTGACTTTAAAAAATTAATTTTTCTTTTCTCTCTTTGGCACAATCTGCACATACAAACTGTTAAATGCTACTGACTAAATACTCATCAATGAAAATTGCTGTGATTAATATCTACACTGTCTGAAAAAAGTGTGCAAAACTTGTACAACAGTTTTTCACTGGGACAACTTTATACCTTATCTAGCTGTAAAAAAACAAAACAAAAAAACAATAGTACTCTAGAGTAATAATAGGCCTAGAACCCTTTGGGGGTAAATAAGGTACAAAGTTGTACCAGTGACAAGCTGTTGTCATTTTTTGCACATTATTTCAAACATCGATTTGTACATCAGTTTACATCAGACATTACATCGATTTGTAATCAGATGTAAATGTACCGGCTGACCAATCAGAGGCTCGTTTCCAGCTGAAATGAACTTCTTGCACTGCACTCTTAATGAAGATACAGTTACTAATAGACATAGTACTTGTACCTGTACCTATTCTGTGAAATTCAGAAGTGACCAGTATGTTTTTATTTTTGCAGAGTTTGATTTGTTTACATGAGTGTGCAGTTGTAGTACTGTGCATTTACTCTTAAATTTTTGTTGAAAATGCTATATATATATATATATATATATATATATATTGTTGCACTACATTTTAGTGATTTCGCTAACAGATTCTACCCTTGTCATTGTTGATTTTGTTGTTGATCATTTTTGTATTTTCCTTTGTGACTAAAATGTTTTAATCTCTTTTGAGTATTTGTGTGTGTGTTGGGGGTTCTTACCGTTTGCACAATTATTTTAACTGACAAACATAATGAAATACTATAGTGAGGATAAAAACCTCACGTTTGGTAAGTTCAAGTCAAATGTTAACGTCATAGGGCTAGTTCACCCAAAATTGAAAATTGTAATTTACTCACCCTGAAGTTGTTTTAGGAATGATACTGAAAAAAAAATGTCATTGTGAAATCTGTGATGTGATTTTTGGCATAAAAAGTGTGCAAGTGATTATCTTAGCTGCCAGAGTGAAGTTGTTTATGAAGGTTACAATATGCAGACATTCAACTGAACATTGTAGTGGTATTATACCTCATTTATTAACAAAATGTCGCATCCTTGCGAAAAATGTTTTAATACATATCACTACAGTAGCACAGATGTCAAAGAAATAATTGCTAATGTTTTCCAGCCACACAGACATCTGAAAATCTGTTTTAATTGTCAGCTATTTGAGTTATTATTAGTTACATTATTATGGAATTGGCTTAACTTTTCCTGAAAATGAAGATTTACTTTGAACCACCACAGAATGATTATTTACTCAGTACACATTTTATGGAATAATAACTAATTAAAAGTATAGTTTACCAAAAAATGGCATATCATTTACACACCCCCATGTTTTCAAATTCTGTGGATTGAAAGAATATCCTATCCACTCCTGTCATGCCTGATTCATGTGTTGAGTCTTCATTTGGTCTATCCAGTTCACAAATGATGCATTCATGCATCTGACTGATCCAGTTCTGGAGTTCATCATTTTCTTTTTGTATTCCACAGAAGAAAGAAAGTCATACAGGTTTGCAACGACATGGGGGTGAGTAAATCATAACAGAATTTTCATTTTGGGGTAATCTATCCATTTACATAATTTCAAAGCAGCTTACGACAAAATATAACTTTAGATCAAAGATGCAAATCAAGTTGAAATACTTCTCTTTTTTCTTATTTACAGTAATATTACCTCATGACACCTGACTAATAATGTGCCCCCTCTGTTTTTGTTACTACCCCACACTCTCAGAAAAAAATGGTACAAAACCTGTCACTGTGGCCGCACCCTTTCAAAAGGTTCTATTATGTATAATTTAGGTCAGAGGTGTCCAATCCTGCTCCTGGAGGGCCACTTTCCTGTGGAGTTTAGCTCCAACACCTTTCCTGCCTGGAAGCTTCTAGTGATCCTATTAGCATCTACGTTTCCACGGAGAACCTTTAATATCCATGGAAACTTTCTATTGTACAAATGGTTCTTTACAGTTGAAAAATATATTTATATGTTTATATGTGACCCTGGACCACAAAACCAGTCATGATGGTAAATTTTTCAACATTGAGATTTATACAACGATTTAAAAATGCAAAAAAATCTAAATACTGAGAAAATCACATTTAAAATTGTTCAAATGAAGTTCTTAGCAATGCATATTGCTAATCAAAAATTACGTTTTGATATATTTACGGTAGGAAATTTACTAAATATCTTCATGGAACATAATCATTACTTTATATCCTAATGATTTTTGTCATAAAAGAAAAATCGATAATTTTGACCCATACAATGTTTTTTGGCTATAAAAAAATCTAAATACTGAGAAAATCGCCTTTAAATTTGTCCAAATGAAGTTCTTAGCAATGCATATTGCTAATCAAAAATTACGTTTTGATATATTTACGGTAGGAAATTTACTAAATATCTTCATGGAACATAATCATTACTTCATATCCTAATGATTTTTGTCATAAAAGAAAAATCGATAATTTTGACCCATACAATGTTTTTTGGCTATTGCTAAAAATATACCCAAGCGTCTTAAGGTTTTGTGGTCCAGGGTCACATATTATTTGTTGAGCCCCATCAGTCACGATTCTGCCCATGGCTACAACTTCAGCACCTTAACAGTGGCGAGAGTTTTGTTCTCCTCATCATTCGGGTAGTCCAAGTCCTCTTCCTCTCCATCCTCTTCATCAAGTTGGAGGCTTCCAGAAGAAAAGCGCATGCGTGCCAGCGGACCAGAATGCACCACTTTACCCAGTGCAGGAAAGTAGGGGTAGAAAGTGTCTGAATCTGAATCACTATAACTACCTGTGCCGAGAACGCATAAAGAAGTGGGTCTTTCCGGGAGTGGGGCGGGACGTAGAGGAAGGTAGGTGGGCCTGGTAGGAACCTGGTGTCGAGAAAGGTGTGGATAATATCCCAGAGGGCGATACTCGGATGCATAGGCAGCGGCGTTGGAGGCAAGTGTAAGTCGCTGGAATTTGAAGTCTGGTTGGCTTGAGGCTCGACGCGGCAAGCCGGTCTGAAAGGTGGAGTCGTCACTGTAATGGCCCGCTTCTACTCCACTCAAGTCCAATTTCCTATTCAACCCAACCCTTAGTCCTAGTCCTCCTCTGGGGTACAATCTCGATTCTCCCTGGCTGGCAGGACAGAACCTTTCCTGCTGCTTTTGTAGTTGTGGTGACAAGCAAGAGGACGGTAATGACGAATGAGCAATTTGTCTGGGCAAGTATTGAAGAGGCACATGGTTGTGATGGGTTTGAGGGAGTCGGTCTAGGGATGAGGACGTGTGGTCTTGCAGTAAGTACGGATGAGTGGCGAGTGGGAAGGTTGGCAGCACTGGGTGGAACTGTAGATGGGGCGTGTTAGGATAGAGGAGCACAAGATGCTGGGCGCTAGGAGACAATCGTCTCTTTGCCTTTTGTCTCTGAGCTCCTCTACTACGATGTTCTGCTCCTGATGTGGAAAGGGAACGGAGCTTGGGCGAGGCAGAGTTGCTTGAGAAGGCAGGATTTCGTGACAAGGGCCTGGATCGTTCCAGCTCATTAGCGAACATGACTTCCACAGCGGATAGGCTGCGCTTTGCTACGCCTGTCTGTTCGCTGTGTTGCCCAGCAACGGTTGGGTCGGGAGGTAGATGCTCGTACAGCTATGTGAGGAAGAAACAAATGTGAGAAACACGATCCAAAAACACAACCGAAATGTAAGTAACTAGTACAATACCTGCTTGGAGACGTCAGTCAGTATGTCAGGAGAGGATCTGCACTGTCTCGTGTCATATTCAGACTTGCAGTAACTTCTGGGAAAAAAAGTGCAAAACAGGCTGTAGATGCAGTGAAAAACAACCCCCTATAGCACTGTCCAATTCCCTAAAGGCTCTGTTCTTGCAACTAAAATGTTAAAACACATTGCAGTTTAATGTTCAAAGACAACTTTAAACCATTTGTAGGTTGATATGCCCTACACTCTCATAAAAAAAAGGTACAAAAGCTGTCACTGGGACAGCACCCTTTCAAAGGGTACACCGTGGTACCTTATTTACTCATAAAAGGTGCATTTTAGTACCTTAAAGGTACAGATTTGTACCTAAATTATACAAATTAGTATGTAAATGTTACATATTAGTGCCTTTTGAAAGGGTACTGCCACAGGGACAGCTTTTGTACCTTTTTCTGAGAGTATAGATGTCAAATCTGTGATGCATTTGATATTGTTCTGTTGGTAATATAATCCCAAATGGCGCACTTGATGTGTACTTGTGGTCTTGTGGACTTGAAATGGTCATCACTTGTCCGTTCATGACACTGTAAGGTGTCCTATTTGACGTTTTATGTTTCAGATGTGTGCTCATGAGGGCCTTTGTTTGAGTGGCTCAACGTAGTAATGTTGACTCAACCATTGGTGTTAGTTCAGGACTACCTAATTGTCTAAGCCAACAGAAGACAATTGTATAATTTTTGCTATTCCGAGTATTCCCATTAGTGGCTTAGAAACTACACGTACAATTTATGCACAAATGTATTCCCATAACATACAATACCCAGCGTAACATCTTACCTTTCAAAAGGCAAATGTTTCTTGTCTCTAGAGCCTACGCACTCAAGAAGTTGCTTCTGTGTCCTGCCACTACAATACCACAATCGCAAGAATAAAAAGAGACAACAGTTACTGATCAAAAAATATATCATCTAGCCTTGTTCACACTGACAGTGATTTTATAGAATATTAGAATTTTTTGCCATTGGATGCCCTACAATTATTTGTGGGCTGCATAACTGGCCAGAGCTTTTAAAAATTTGAAAGGTTCATTTGAAAGAAGTCTTTTATGCTCACAAAGGCTGCATTTATTTGATCAAATACAGTAAAAGAAGCAATATTGTGAATCATTAATGCAATTTAAAATAACCTTTCTATTTTTATTTATTCATGTCATTAAGCTGGATTTTCAGCATTGTTTACTCCAGTCTTCAATGGCACGTGATCCTTCAAAAATTGTTCTAATAAGCTGAAACATTATTATTAATGTTGACAACAGTGCTTCTTAATTTTTTTTTTTTTTTTGTGGAAACAATGCAACATTTTATTCAGGATCCTTTGATGAATAGAAAGTTCAAAAGAACAGGATCTATTTTAAATAGTTTTTTTGAACAATGTAAATGTCCTTACTGTCATTTTGTGATCAATTTAAGGCATCCTTGTAGAACGAAGTATGAAACTTTCGAACTGTAGTGTATATTACTGTAAAAACAAGATGCTATTTTATTCTGACAATTGATCAGTTTTTGTGCAGTTAAAAATGAATATTCTCATTTCTATATGAAATCCATCTGTGCATGATGCACCATATGCTGAACAAGATCAATGATTGTCAATACATGAATCAAACACGCTCAGAATGCTGACCGTTTCTGACATGGTTTCCACATATTATTTTTATTATACTGCTGTATGTGTGCAGTGATATATTATACAGAAGACTGAAATCACTCACAGTGACATTAACTTCTGCATCAAGCCTACACTCAACTATAGTATCTGATCATATTGCCACATCGGTGTTTAACTTTTCTCAACTTTGTCATATCGCTAGACACACCCACTTTGTGTTGCCAATGATTACCATCACTCATTTTGCCAGTTATCATCAGCTCTCAGTAAAGTCGCTGTCAGAGTGAAAGCACTTTCATACATATAAACCAATGACTAAAGTCTCTTGTTGTTTGTTTAGCAAAGAAGATTAGAACTACTCTGTTTAATATCCTCATTACAATCTCTCAGAGGGTTTATGGAAGATGATTAGGAAGGATCATAGCATAAAGTATTAGACAACTGGGGCTTCTCATTGCATTTCACAAAATCTAAAGTCTGCCTGTCACATACCTGTATCTGAAACTGGATCCTTTGCTGGACAGAATGGACCTTTGATGTGACTTGGGCTCTTCGGCAAGTCTGAAGAAAGCATGATACTCCACACACATCTTCCAGAATGCCTTACACACATCTCTGCTGGCCATGGAAAATTCAACAGTGTCTCTCCTTGAAGGCTAACACAATAAGAGTTGAGTGAATGACAGATGAGGATATTACTAAACATTCCATGCAGTTTTCATTTTGTTGAACGTTAAAGCATTTTCAGCCTCAAATTTAATGCTTTCATCCTTATGCTTTCTTATTAGAAATACATTCCTATTTTTATGGAAATCGTCAATATAAAATATCTGAAATTTTACCACTTCATTGGTGTGGATTATTTAGGATGATAAACAAAAGTTGTGCATCTGCCTTCTTGCATTTTATGTTGTTTATCTTTATTTTATTTTATATCATACTGTTTTTTCTCATGATAAATTGCTTGTGCTGTTCCTCATTTGTAAGTCTGCCAGCTTTGTATAAAAGTGTGTACTAAATGACTAAATGTAAATCTAGAAGTCAGCACAGGCGCTGCGGATATAATACATAATGAGAAAAAATATTTCAAGTGTTGCTGAGGAACTATTGTATTCTTTTCCCCACAGATTCCAATGTAAAAACAGCTGTTGCTATGGAGGGATCATTTGTGTCTCACCCCAGTCTCAGTGTGGAGTTTGATGAGGAAATGTTTCCTCTTGAAGCTCAGCTTTCGGATCTTGGCCCAGCTGAAGGTATTGATCTTTGTGTTTCCCTGATAATGACATAAACATGTAAGAGAGTTGAAATTTCTAAGCTGCATTTAAGGTTGCTGTGTATATTTGTTTCTATGCGGTTTTTTTTTCGTTTTTTTTTTTCCAATTAGAAGGCTAAAGCGTAAGCATATATTTTTGTAGTTTACCTGAAAAACGAGTACTCCCATATGTGTGACAGCGAGGTTGATCCTCATGCCTTCTCCATCATGGGCAGGGTGAGGGCGGATCCCGTACATGTCCATTTTCCGGGCAACCTCCAGCAAATGCACATCTGATTCAGCAGGAGTGTGACCTCTGACCCCATAAACAAAATTATTGCCAAATGTACAAATTTAGAGGTTCTCATTTGGGTTTTGATTTGGTGACTAAGACCTCGTTTACACTGCAGGTCTTGATGCCTAATTCTAATTTGTTGCCTATATCTGATTTTTTTTAACGTCTGTTTACACCGTCTGTCTTTCAATTTTGACCCTAATTCGGTTCATGTGGTTACACTTTCCATACCATCTAAAACATTGCGCTTAAAGAATAATATGACATCATTAAACCAGAGAAGTTCCAAAATGTCGCAGTTTTAATGACGTACAGAACGCAATGCCTCAGAACATCCGATCTGCCTGTTTACATGACAGTCACATTGGCACATACAGCGGGTAAAATAAGTATTGAACACATCTCCATTTTTCTCAGTAAATATATTTCTAAAGGTCCTGTTGACTTGAAATTTTCACCAGATGTCGGTAACAACCCAAGAAATTCATACAAACAAAGAAAACAAAACAAATAAGTTCAGAAATTAAAGGGGTCATATGATGCAATTTCAAATTTTCCTTTCTCTTTGGAGTGTTACAAGCTGTTCGTGCATAGATAAGATCCCTAAAGTTGGAAAGTGTAAGGGGCGTAACATTTCCGTCACACGCTTGAGGTATTCAGCCAATCACAATGCACTAGATAGCTGGCCAATCAGAGCACACCTCGCTTTTCAGACCGATGAGCTTTGTAAAAACCGACGCGTTTCAGTAACAGGAGTAATAATAAACACTATTAAAACAACAATAATGTACAGTATGTGAAAAATTATGTGTTTTTTTTTACCTTAAACCGCATAAACACATTGCATTACACCAAATACACATTACACAACATAATGTTCTTTTTAGCAACGTCATATGACCCCTTTAAGTTCTGTGTAATAAAATGGAATGACACAGGGAAATTTATTTAATACTTTGTACAAAAGCCTTTGTTGGTAATGACAGCTTCAAGACGCCTCCTGTATGGAGAAACCTGTATAGTAGAATACATTGCTCAGGTGTGATTTTGGCCCATTCTTCCACAGAGTCTTCAAATCTTGAAGGTTCTGTGGGCCTCTTCTATGAACTCT